TTTTTGTATTTTATTTATACTTTTTATTGCATTATAGTACTATGATCATTTTTATATGAATATTTTTCAGTTGTGGAACAAATCATCTGACTTTCTATTATTTGTTATGAGGAATTAACTTGGATATACAAGTGCTTTGGATTAAAATCGTATTTCCAGAATGAATTATGCTCACAAACTAAGGTTCTTGTCTGAGTACATGCTAAAGTATGATAGTAGAAATTCAATGTTTATAACTTTTATTGATGTGCTTCATAAATTTCTATGATTAATCTATTTTCTTCACCAATTTATCATTACCAAAACAAGAACCCAGATATCAGGATATTCTATTCCCATGTCATTTAAAATAAATGTGAAGTGTTTTAATTTCTCATGGACTCTATTTTGCACCCCCTAATTTTGCTATTTTAGTTCAGAAGCAAAAAAAAATCATGAGTAGAATATCATGAGTTATTTCATTAGACATTTATAAGCATTCTCCTTTCAGTTAAACAATAAAAGATTAATTGCATGCCCTCAGGATGTCTTACGTTTCATGGCAAAGATAAATAACTGGTTCAAATTTACACAGCTATTGAGTGTCAGAACTAATGATAAAACACAGTATTCTAAATCCAGTTTACTGCATTTTTGGACACTACTAACTGGAAGCGAGGACATGCGTAAATTTAAAATAATTTTCCACCCCAAATCCCAGCTAATTGAGTTTAATGTCAGGAAATAGTCAGGAAGTGCAGAGTAGGACCATTGTCTTATCCATCCCCTATTCAGTGCACAGTCTTAGCAGCATCCTGGCCCCTCTTCCTCTTTGCCCATCTACTTAGCAAGTTTCTCTGTACTGTGGTCCCTGGTTCCCTTTGGAGATCGTGTGGTCCTTTAATAGTCAAATCACTGAAGTTGTCTGTTAGAACTCTCTACCCTGTCTTCCTCTTCTCACTTCTAAGAAGTTGAAATAGTCCTTGAGTGATTTTTGTGATATACTTCATTAATAAATTCATCTAAAAACTCAGGGCAGAATTCTGTTAAGGATGAGATTTCAAAGGTGGCCGTAGCAACTTTTTCTTAATAGCTAAAATAAAAACAAAAACTCAAAGCAGTAAGGCATTAAGCAAAGTCAAGCAAAAAAACTTTGACTATAGCACCACTGACTAATTAATTTTCTTTGTCAGGTTCTATTTTATTTTAGTTTCTTGGGAAAACACATCAGTGTTTCTCTTTAGGAATGTCCACCTTTAAGGAAATTGGCTCACAATAAGCAAAAAGATACAGAGTGAACATGTACAGTACAGACAGAATATAATATGTAAACCAAATATTTCACTCTCTATCCTCATTCCTTGGATCCTACAGATGATTGTGTACCACGGACAATGGACCCTTAGAGTATCTCAGAAGAATACTTCAAAAGGAATCACCACACAGAATGGAGAGAGACAGACGCATGCTCCCAAGGCAGCCAGTGGAATTGCAAGTCACACCCACATCCACAATTGTTTGTACATCACTCACAGAACAGCAGGCAATTAGAAAAGTATGAGTCTATTCCTATGCATAGATCATACACCTGGAAAACCGAGACAGACTGGGATGGGAGGAATAAAAAGTATTAAAGGAATGCTTAAGGTGCAAAAACAAATACAATTTCCATAAGAAACTAAAAAGAAACAACCTAAGGTAGGAAAGATTACCATATATAATTGAAAAAATAAAAATAGAAGACAAACATAACCATAAAAAATCTTTTAAAACCATTAAAAAAATTTTTAAAAACCTGAAAAACACAAAAGTGGGGCATGCACAAATGGAATGGTACCCAGGACCCCGCGGATATCCTTCCCTGACAACAGTTGGCTGACAGGGACAGGCTGCCCAGTTCCAGCTGGCAGTGCAAACCAGCACCATGCACATTTCCCATAGAGGTAGGAAGTCCTGCCATTACCACATTTACATTCAGTGCCAGAGTGACTAACACAATATAAGCTTTCAAAATGACCAAAATAAGAGACATTGTGGAGCATTTTCCAGTAAATCTGTTCCAAAGCAACAGACAGTTCAACACATGTGTTGAAGTGCAATGCAGGTTCTGGTTGATGATGGGATTCAACGAGAACAAGGGGTCTGCCTCTATCTCAAAACAACCCCCTAACTGTCCCAGCAAAGAAAGAGCCACGGGGTGCTGCAGGGATGTGGATGCCTTCAAGAGACATCACTGGGAAGGGGCAAGGCAGGAGCAGGAAAGACACTCTCTAGTGAGCTACCATTCTCATAAACTGAGTTCAATACCTGGTACTGAAAAAAAAAAGTAACACTCAGAAATAAATCAAAATACTGGCATTATTTGGTTAGATTTTATATGATTCTTTCTTTTAATATGTCCTATGATCCAAATATAAGTAAATAGCATGTGTGTTAAACATTTATAAATTTAAATTCTATACAGAATTGTGTGCTGTAGGACTGTAACTACATTACAAATGGTATACTAATTTAGTGTCATAACCCAAAGTCCAGGGTAAATTGGACATCTGTCATTCAATACAGAGGAAATGATACACAGTGAAGCCAATTTTCATAGTGAAGAACTTTCTGGGAGTTTCTATATGTATTACTTACTGTCTCATGGCTAGGATTCAGTACTCAACAGACACAACTTTAAGGGGAAGAGGTTTCTTGTGGCTCTGCTTTCAGTCCAAGATCAGCTGCTGGCTCCAAGGCAGGAAGGGCAGGTGGAAGGGCCCGGCAGAGGAGAGCTGCTCACCTCATGGCTGCCAGGAAGCAGAGAGAAGGGAGGAGCTGGGGAGCAGTCTGTAGGCCACGCCCCCCGGTACCACCTCCAGCCAGGCCTCCTCACAGCACATGCTACTAAGAGCTCAGGCCTGGAGGAACCACTGATGAGCACAGCACCGCAGCCTCCATCACCTCCACATACACAGGAGACTTGGGGGACACTTGAGAGTCAAATTCTAAATGGTGGGTATTGACAACACTGAGGAGTTAGAATACATACACATGTCAAATTAGACGCTATCAAATTTGACAAAACAAATTCCTTTTTGGCATGGCTCCTCTGCAGTCGCCTCACCCTTCAGGATTAAAGTGCCCATCACCATAAATTTGCATAACGTTTGCCAGCCAGAGCCATCTATTGCATCCCCTGAGGGCTCCAGTCTTTGTCACCTTCTGCTTATGGCACTCTTCCATGATTTCCTTCTTCTTTTGTACTTAATACACCTAAGTAAAAGCCTGTTAATACAGGATACTTCTTAAGATTTTTGTAGGTTGTGTTTGCATGCTGTGCAATTCTAGGTGTTCACTGGTCATTAACATCCTTCAAAGTCTTTCCTGTGCCACATGCAGTATTTGTTACTTTTTTGTCTCTCCTCGTTACGGTGATACTGATGGATAAGTTGCAGCTTCAGCCAGTGTGGGATGAAGGTTGAGGTGTTCACTCGCACTGATTCCGGGAGAGATGTGCACCCTCCCTCAGCTTCACAAACTTCCACCAGGCCCACATGTGAAGGGGGATGGGGAGTCAGTCCCTTATACAGGTACTGTGACACACTGGGACAACTTCTTTGCTGCTAGAAACTTCTAAATATATTTATTCATTTTCTGCAAATGCATTAGAATTTAAACACTGCCCATCTCACCAGGACTCGGCTCACCTGAAATGAGTTGTTGTACTCTCGAGACTCCAGTGATCAGTGAGGAATACTTTAGACACCTCTGTAATACAAAAGCAGAGCCAAGTGTAGTGGTGCACACCTGCAGTCCCAAAGCTCTGGGAGGCTGAGGCAGGAGGATTGCAAGTTTGAGCCCATCTGGTAAAACTCAGTAAGGCTCTGACTCAAGATAAAAAATAATAATAAAGGGTAAAAGACTGGGGATGTAGCTGAATATGAAGGCCCTGAATTTAATCTCTAATATTGCAAAAAAATTAAAAAAGCACAAACAGTGCTAGGAGATTTTATGGAGACAGCATAAGTTGTTGGGACAGAGTGAACCAAAGAGTGGAGAAGAGGTGCACTGATAGATTAGTGAAGGTGAAGAATGCATAATTCTGCTGCAGAGCCCATCCGACTCCGGCACTCATTGCCATCCCACCTCAGGAAGGTGTAAAACAAACGTGTTCCTTCCAAAGGGCAAGTTCGATAAAGATTTCTTTTAAAATGCGAATTATGCTGCACCTTTTCTGTGTACTTCGGACTGTACTGCGCTCACATTCTTACACTGCTGCGTGTTGGTTAGCTTTTGCAATATAAAAAATATTTCTATCTTTAATTTCCCAGAATCAGAATGAAAACAGAATCCTTATCAAAGACCCGTGCTTCAGAAACTACAAGTGTGGCCCATTCCAACCGAGCAGGAGCTAAAACCAGCACTTTCTGCTTCAATTTTTCATGAGTTCCTAATAACACAGCTACACATTGCTTTTGTCTAGCACAGGAGGGACAGCCTATCAGGCAGGGCCGCACACAGAAAGGACCAAGCTGCCTCATGACACCTGTGAAGGGTGGTGGATATGGGGATTTTCAGCAAGGATTAATCCAAATCTACAGTGCAGCGGGTCATGTTTCCTCCACCTCCAATCTAGAGAAAGTTCTCTCAAGGCAGCTTAAACCCGCAATGTGTATCACAGTGCCTAGGAGACCAGAGTCTGTTCGGAGCCCACAGCACCCCCGAGACACCTGAAAGAGCAGTACTGTGGCCCAGCAGAGTGCATCCATGGGGACAGCCCTGGCACCCAAAAACCTTCTGTAGGTTGAATCCGGACAGTCCACTGAGGACCTGTGGTTGGGCATCACCTCTTAAAGGAGGTGGACCTTTAAGGCTTGGGCTGGGGGAAGAAGTTAGGTCATTGGTCAAGACCTTGAAGGAGACTGGGGGCCCCTGACTTCCTCTTCCGCCCTCACACGGCTCACAAAGAATTTTTGGCACATGCTGCAGCCCAACGCGTTCAGCCTTGTGACTCCTGTCTGTCCTCTGCCCCAGCAGAATGTGAGCTCACCAGGTTCACCTGCCCTCTTTCTGTCACACACACACAAACCTGAATCAGAACTGGCTGAGGGAGAGTACTCTAAAGAGCCCTTGCCTGGCCCCAGGACACCGATGCAGCTCTGTCTCTGACAGGGAGACACTTCTGTCACCATCTGGCTTTAATCTTAGGAGAATCTAAAGATGCAAGGAAGCCGACTGGTAAGTAGGAGGCCGTGACAGTCTGGGAGAAGGAGGTAAGCAGCAGGTTGGGAGATTTAAATAAGACCCAGGCATGATGGCCACACCTGCAGTCCCAGCACTCAGGAGGCCGAGGAAGGAGGATCACCGATAGTCCAAGGCCGGTGTGGGCTCACAGTGAGTGCAAGAGCAGCTGGAACCACACAGGGGATTTTGTTTCACAAAACAAAACAAAAGCAAACTATGTAATGCTATTCCAGGAAAAGGGATTCAGCCACAGAACATACCCCAGAGCTCCACGACCATGGGTCCTTCTCACTGGTATCCCACTTCCCCTCTGTCCTCCAAGCTTTACTTTTTGCAATCCAACTGGTCATCCCAGTGAAGCTACAAGGAAATTACTCTTTAAACCCAATTTTCAGGATGTAAACTAAAGACACAGACTCAAGACTGAGTGATTGATTTATGATTACCGAAATAGTAAGTCAAAAATGACTTAGTCTCTGTAAGCTAACAGGTATGATACTCAGAAAAGAGAGAGATGTAGATGCAAAGTGACAAACAAGTCCCTCTTAGGAGAAGTAATTTACTAGTTTTAATTAGGAATAAAACATTAAAACGCATAGCAAGAATCTGACTTATCTTACACTTTGTAAAAAACACAGGTCTATAATTTTGCCAAAGTCTGCAGTTTAGAATATATTCCACCTAGTCAAAAAATGTAACTTGCCAAGACACATATACATACATCAGTTTAAAATGTGAATATATTAAATTGTGAGGATAAAAAAATGAAGCTGAGTCTTATCTGCTGTATAATGCTCCACTATGAAGTTTAATTTCAACTTCTGGAAAAAGTGGGTGCATGTTTGTTAAAATATAAACCTTGGCACATTAATATTTCAGAGTTTGCTTTAGCAGACAGCAAAACAGAAAATTGCTGATGAGTTGAATCCCTGCTTGGATTATTCCGAGGGAGGCACCTTGGGGAGGCCTCTGGGTGGTTTCTGATCAGTGCCGCTCAAGTTCTCCTTCTCAAGGGACCAGGGCACAAAAGCTGGCGGTGTCACCAGCCCCCAGATGAGTTATTTTAACAATCATTTGCTCATGCTTGGATAGAGAGGGGCCGAATTGTCTGCAGAAAATGAACTTCACTTGAAGCAACTGATTACTAGACACATGATTACTAGAGTCACAGTATAAAATTAAAAACAAGGAGACAAAGAGAGTCAGGTTTTTTGTCAAAGAGGAAGCAGGTCTTTGCAGTCAGGGAAACCCAGAGCTCTAGGCAGCCTCAGGTCAGGCTTGGGACTGACACCGTAAGGTGCAGGTAGAGGCAGCTGTCTGTGTGTGCAGAGTCCAAGTACTCAGGTGATTCTGAAGCCAGTGAGGACACATGTATGCAGTCTGACTTACATTGGCTTGGTTTAATACCTACTGCCCCAGAGACCTTAATCTGCCACCCTGCAGTGACCCGGCTGGTCAGACAGCATCAGTGGCCTATCAAAGGTCTCCATGTGCATCTGCTCATGCATTTCTTAGCATTTCAAATAAAGCATTTTTTTATTTTAATGGTGAACTAAATTTAAAACTAGAAATTATCATCCCTTATTTTAGAAATATGTTCCTTTTAAATTCTACCCTGGAAATACCCTAGCAAGTTCAAGATGAAGCATGTATTAATACAAAATAAAACTGAGAAAATGTCAAACATGCATAAGGTATAGAGTTGGACACAGTGGCATATACTCGTAAAGTCAGCACTCTGGGAAGCTGTGGCAGGAAGATTGTAATTTCAACAGGCTGGGGAATTTAGCAACTTCATGAGACCCTGAAACAAAACAAAAAAATCAAATAAAAAGTGCTGAAGATATAGCTCAAAGTGAAGGCCCTAGGATAGGAGAGTTGCTAGCACAAATTTACTGCGGGTAGAGAAGAGCTCCCTCCAATCAGAGGTCCGAGAAACTCAGCGCGGTTCCCTCCTCAGCTCCCTGATAGTAAGAGTCCTGTGTGCTCGGGTCTGTATTTGACCACGGAAGCCCCAAGCTTCCCTGTCATTCACAGCCCAGGCTGGTGACCAAGTCCTTTCCAGCGTACAGGTCAACAGCTTTGTCAGACTTCCCTGGCGCCAGGCTCCCGGAATGAGAGGAGAGACGCAAGGCAAGGCCCCTCTGTCTCTGGCAGCCTCGGAGGGAGCTGCTCGCAGGGACCAATCAGTGCTAGTGGCCTCCTGCACCTCCAGGCCCCGGAATCCTCCAGCTTCTGCCAGATCCTCAGCTCCTTGACTAGGAAATGTCAAGGGTCCTAATTAGCAAGGAGAGGGGCCAGGATCAGCTTGTCATCCTCACAGCCCTGGGGTACGCCCCAAAGTGCCAGCCACGTTTTGCAAATGAAGTCTCAGGGATGTGTAAGATGGGAGAGTTTTCAGCAAATTTGTGAGACCAAAGGGCAATGATAATTCAAAATGTTGGTTCAATATTTTGTTGGACACAAACATGACATTTCTGGTCTTCTTCACATATTTCTAACTTAGAAGCAGTAGTTACAAAACAGATACAGTTCTGCATATTTGCACTGGGAGCATGTGATACACAAATCATCACAAATAGCATGGAACAATGCCATATTTTGACATTTTTTTCATCACAAGGAAACTTTTATTGTGCCTAGCTAGGTACACTTAAAATAACTGACATGTTTGAGGAGTGTCATCTAACATTCCTTTTATAAATGCAACATTTTATAGAAGACTAAATTTAATTAAATTACATGGATTTAAATTCTGATTATAGTCATTCACCTGGAAGACACAATTCTGTATTTTTTCTGCCAAAATACATCGGGACATGAGAATAAGTACAACTGTAATCCAGACGCACTACAACTGTGTGATTCAGAGCAGGCAGATTTTATTTTCAGTGGGGAGCTTATGATGCCATTTAAATTCAGTGATTGTTATTTTTGCCCTAGGCTATATTTGGTTGCCAAGGTTACCATACTTTCTTCACTTGGAAATTCACTGTGGAGACCACTTGCCCTTGGTGAAGATGGTTGTGGGGGCCACACTGAGGCGAACCACCCCATTTTGAGGGTCAATGTACTCATTTTCAGACTAAACACTCCCAACCCACTGTGTGGGAGACATCGGAATAAAAGTTACAAACAAAGGTGAAATCATAAAGCAGATGTGTAAGCCTCCCAAGCTGAAGAGCTCACACGCAGGGCCCAGGAATCACTACTGGGTGCTGACCAGAATCTGGTTGACTCTGACATAGGGAACTCTGCTCCCCTGGCACCACGCAAGACCGCGTCCCCCAACCCTCCAGGTACCTGGAGGTCCAGCTGTTAAGCGGGGATGAACATGCAGAGAAGAAAGCAGTGGCTCAGCTTCAGGCAGACATTCCTTGTGCAGCGCACTTTTCCATCAAGTTATTCCACCCCAAGGTCGGAGGGCTTCCTGATGAGAGAAAGCCCTGACGGTACTGCATTTCCCCCATGTACTTATCTGCTTGGGGTAAACTCATTGTCTGAAGAGACAGATGGCAGAGATATGCATGCATGAGACAGGGCCAGAGTGGGCTGGAGGTGCAGGTGACAGAGACGGAATGGCCTCTCTCCTCTTCTCTGCAGCATCCAAGCCCAGAAACTCAGCCGTCGGCTCTCATTCATCTCCTTTTATTTTTATTTCTTAATTAGGTAGCATTTTTTCTAAAGCCCAATTTTTAGCACACAGCCCTACTTTCCATTCAGCATCAGCGTAGTCACTACTCAGGGAGATTTGGGGAACTCATCTATTCATGATTCTAGAGCAAAGCGGTCCATTTTTCTCAGATTCCTAGGATTGTCAAGAAAAGAGGGTCACTTAGGGTGATCATTTGTGGTTGGAAAGTTGGCCTGTAGTTGGAGCTGTGTACTGTTCAGCTAAGAAAACGTTTTTAAAGCAGAAAATGCTCCACATTGACTTGGATAGCTCTGTGTGCTGTCCAGACCTTCTGTGTCTTCCTCTCCTCACATCCCCACAGGCCTGGGGAGCCGCCCAGCACCTCCTCCCAGCTCTCCTCTCCACAGATCCTACTCCTGTCTTCTCAGAGATTTTCTGTCCACACCTTTGGCATCTTCTGCCCCGGCTCCTTAGACCTCCATTTATTTTACAGTTTCACGTGGTTTTGTCTTGAACCCGAATGTGCAGATGAAGATTAGTTAAAATTATTGTATTTTGCGCACATTTGCAATTTATTACAGTTACAATTTAAAAGAACAAGATCTCGCAGTTTTTAAAGTTCAGGATTTAAAATTGCTATGCAATTTTATTTAAATCTAGGGAATGAAACATTGCATTACTTGTGCTCAGAGTAAGTTTCAATTAACCTAGGTGGAGTAGTTTAAATTTCCTTTAAACTGTTTTAAAACCTAGTAAATTAAATCTCCTTTAATATGTGGAACACTATTTTTAAATTTAGGTATTCTCCTTGGTGATTTCACAGGCCTGACAGGAGAATTTATATGTTTAACCAAAACAAAATCTTCAAAAGCATTTAAATAACTTTGTTAAATATAGTATATTAAACTTGGAAATATACTAAACACCATTATGTCAAACTTCTAGGCACAGTAATGTACTTAGTCAAGTTTTATTATATTTTTTCTGTTTGAAATGAATGAACTTCTGGGTTTCTCTGAAATGTCAATAAAATTTTTATTTTTTAAAATGTTGAGCTATAACTATGTACATTTAAATGCACAGACCAAAAGGGTTAATTTCACCATGTCTCTGGCAAATGTAACATACATACATACCAAACAAAATAGGGAACATTTACAGGAACCCAGAATGTTACCTTGTGTCACTGTATTTCACACAACAAAGCATTCAGTGGCCACAAATTAAAACATAGACTACACTAGGATTACCATGGCTTTCATATTCTTTATTAATCTATGCTTACTTATTTATCCTCTGAACAGTAAAAAAAAAAAAAAAAAAAAATCACCAATCTTGTAAAGTAGTATCTCATCTAAAGTAATTTTGCCCCACAAGGTTGAATTTGGAGACATTTTGAATGGAGACGTTTTCGTGATCCCAGGTTGAAGAATGTCCTGGCCTGTGCGAGCAGAGACTAAGGAGGCTGCTAGGTGTGTTGGCATGCACAAGGCTAGTCCTCTACCCGGAAAAAACTGCCCAACCTAAAATGTATATAGTGCTGATACTGAGGAAAATGTTCTAAAGCACTCAGACTCACCAGCTCAGCCAGAAGCACGGGGACCAATTTGTCCCTGTGTCCACAGCTTGCCTGTGAAACAAAGGCCGACTGGGGGTACATCTGGAGCTGGATCCAACCTGGGGGTTTGCGCTGTCAGTGCCATGGCTTGGGTGCTGAGTGCCTCAAGGGCTGCTCTGTGAGATTTGCTCATAACCCTGTGGGAGACAGTGGAGCCCGTGGGGGTTACCTACTCCCTGAGATGCGTCCTTTTCCCTCTCTTTGGCTTTCTGGCCATGAGGTGAACAGTTTTCCCCAACATGCGCTGTCCCCACAGAGGCCTGGAGAAATGGGTCCACCTGGTCTTGCCCAGAAAACCCCAGCGCTGTGAACCAAGATCATCCTTCTCCAAGATAACTGCCTAAGAACTTTTGTTACCGGAATGGAAAGCTAATATGCCAGCCTCTGACTGATGTGAGGCTATTTTTAATGATGCTACATCTACAGGGACCCCTGCACATTTTTATCTGGACTTGTGCTCAAAACATGTTCACTATACTCTTGATTTACCACAATAAATTAATTGGTACTACAATTAAAACTGTATTACCTGTCTCAAGCTTTACTCCTAACCGAAACGACATCTATATGTCTTCTTCTCTGATCTTGAGTAACTTTCAAATATGTCTTTCAGGCCACAATTTCAAAGCCATTATTGTGACAACTCTCCCGGGATAATTTCATTTATTCTATTTTTGAGAGCCATCTCAAATTTCATTCTCCTTTCTATTCCAAACTTTTACTCATTTAGTATTCCTTTCTTAAAATTAAAACGTCATAAAGTAGGATCTGAACTTCTGTACTATTCCTTGAAGTCGACATTCCACCCACGGCACTGAAGCTCTTTGTTTCACTGACCTTAAAATATCTCTCAAATCCACTCCTGTTTCTCTGTACCTCTTCCCGGTGTCTCCATTTTCCTCCCAACTGTAGAGTGACTAGCACCTCTTAAGTGAAACTTCTTACTCTGGTCTTTATCATTCTGTTTTGTTTGCAGGGTTGCATATCAAGTTATCTTGAAAAGGCTTGGATTGGGCTGGCTTTGCAGTTTGCACTGCTCTCTATTGCTGCATACTGTGAATGCACTGCACCCAGAACCCGAGACAAAGTGCTCTGCTGGAGCGTTTTTCCCGCACCCAGTGGACTGGACATTGCTTGCAGGATGGTCCGGCTGACCTGGCCCTTTTGCTCACAACCAAGGAATTAGCTGCTTCCCTTCTGGCCTGGGGCAGGGCCTGGAGAATTTTATGTAGTTGGGCTGCTCTAGGGCCAGTCAGCCGAGGAAGCCAGCTCAGAAAATCTATTGGCTCTGACCTTTCAGCCCTCTTGAATCCACAAGTTTGTCCTTCGCACAGTTTCAAAGAAGAATGCAGGAATTCTTGAGGCCAAATCTCAGAAATGGGCACTGATTTCTTTCCAGCTTTTTCTCTTGGCCAAAGTAAGTCAATGGCAGGTCACTGGGACAGGGAAGGTGACACTATGAAGTCACTGGACAAAGGGGATGGACAGGAGGACAGAAAGAGTTGGAGCCCCACCTTCCTCTGCCCTCAGGATGTCCACTGTCCTTGTGGTCCCTGCCATACCTGCACTTTCTGAGCTGGTGTACACATTGCTCACCACCTTCTAATTTGTCAAATCCCTCATAGTCTGTAATCTGAGCTTCTATCTCCAAGGGTTTGAAGCTCACCCTCCATTCATCTGCATATTCTAAATTCAGTTTAAATATCACTTTTAAAAACTCTAATATGCATTTTTAGTTTGCAAGAGAAGTTTCTGATTCTACCATTCATTGCTCCCTGAACTTTTCCCTATATGCTCATTTGTAATTATTTTGCTTACAATTTTATCTCTAATAGGTCATAGGCCTTCTGGTTGTCAGAGCTCCCTCTGAACATAACTTTATTATTCTACTAATTAATTTTATTAAAATTGCCCCCAAACATTATCTTACTGCTTCCAATGTTATTTATAAGTTTTTGGTTATTTGTCTATTTTCTGATGAAATCTTGCCTTAAGAAAAGAAAAGGGAAGGAGGACTTATTGGAAATGTGTGGAATGGAAAGCTGTTTTATGTTCTATCACTGTCATTGTCCGAGGATCCAGACTCCTATCTGAGGTAGAATTAAGGTTTAGCAGTCAAAACACTGACACAAGTAATAGCAAATCAATTGGCAGACCTGGAAGGTAATCGAGATCTAAAATGATCTTTCTCTTTCACTCTGAATTGATACCTCACCATCATCAGACAAGCCCATGGTTATTCTTTTGTCTAGTTCCTAAATACGTTTTTTTTTTTTTCCTTTCCTGGGCCAGGGATTTAGCTCAGCAGTTCTGCCACCTACCTTGCAAGTGCAAGGACCCGAGTTCAATCCCCAGTACAAAAAAATATATATATATTTCCAAATCTCTGTATCAATTTCAGTATTATTCTCACCTTTTATTGATGAGTCAGCTTTTTAGTCTTTGGGAAAATTGTATACCTTGATTGTAATTCACTGCAGTTTTCAACCTAACCATAAGGAAAATAGCTTATGAAATTAATACAAACATCACTTCCATTAATTAATAAAATATCTCCAAAATTACTGAAGGAAATGAAAAGAGAATTCAAGTACCTCCAAATAACACTCAGGTGATCAATATTCATAAGTCAACTTACAATCAGGTTTTAAATTCATTTTTTTGCCTCAGTGATATTTGCTTAATTGGAAAAAAAAAAGCTAGTTTCATAATTCTCTGGGGGAATAAAATCGTGTATTTGTCAGAAGACACTGATGACTGTCAAAAAGAGGCTGCACAGCTGCAGCAGGAAAGGAGCCCAGAGGAGAGGTGAAAGCTGTGCCACCATCTTGGTAATGACTCCCCAGCCCGAACTTAGGAACAAGAGCTCCTTCCGTGTGTGGCTCTGTGGGCTCGTACTTCTTGGCCAGCCTCCTCATAAGCTAAGGGGAGTACAAGCTGGACCCAGCAACTCGGGGGCCAAGTCCCCTGACCACCATTAGGCAAGGTGGCTTTGCAAGTACATCAGCAGGGGCCAAAGGACACGCCCCACATGCAGACAAGCCACTGCCTGTCAAAGCCAAGAAAATCTCTGGAAGCTAAAGTACATTCTCAAAGTTTGAACTGGGGAGTGGATTCTACCATGTTTCTTCAAATTTATATGGGGATGCTTTTTTTGCTAATTTTTCATAACTTCATCCAAACTTGATCTTAGCCAGCAGGTGTGCAAGCTTCCAGTGACGAACTGCAGCCAGGTGCACCGTGTGTGATCCCCATGCATACGTATGTACCCATCAGTTGGATTTGATAATAATTGGAACTTCGTTAAGCCCTCCCACTGACTTTCCCCAAACCAATCAAGTTGACATAATTGTGCTTAACTATCAGCAGGTGAGGAAACTGGAGCTCAAAGAAGAGAACTCACCTGATGAAGGTCTTGGAGCAAGCTAACACAGCTTGCGTGTGAACCAAAGGCTGTGAAGTCACACGTGGGTTTCGACATGTTAAGGTCCTGAAAGCTTGAGGCTACTGGGAGGCCGTGAAACTTCTACTACTAGTACAACACACTTGTAGGGAAAGTATGGTCCACTCTTCTAGGGATGAGGAAAGCCCCACTATGCAAGGTAAGTGTTGAGTGCAATGAGCTGCAGATGTGGCCCCATCCCCAGAAATACCATTCGTTGAATAGTATTAACAAAGGACCAATCTTTCCCTGACACAGTCCTTTCAGATGTTCAGGAGATGTTAGTAATAAGCATGCTAGCACTTTGTCCTGCTCTTCAAAGACACTGTAGCACATGACAGTGAATTCTCTACCCACTCCCTGGCCCGAGCGAATGATTGCTTCCTGTTCTCTCAGAGACAGACATGGCACCGGTTGCAATCTCTAACATGTTACACATTATTGGTACAGGTGTTAGAAAGTGGGCAGGTGACACTACACTAGACTATAGCTGGGGGCCCAGACACAGAGGGGCTGCCCTACACTTGCTGGCCGCTGCATAGGCTGACTCTTGTGGATGCCATGAGGTCATAAGATTAGATTAAATACAATGAGAAGACTCGGTGATGAAGCCTGAGCTCAGCAGCCCAAGACAGCAGTTCCAGACATTCTTACCATCCAGGGAACATCAATTAGTCCAGAAAGAAAAACTCTCCCTGCCCCCATCACAGCTACAACAGATCCGTATTTCTTACAACCTTACTGATTGTCAAATACATTTCTGAATAACCCTGCATGTCCTTGCTCTTTGGTAACAAAATCAGAATTTCTACAGCATCTGAGTTTATATCACCTATTTCAGTTGATACCATGAAAAGCTAATCAGTTACATTTGAGCAACCATCATTAAAAGTTAATTGGTTTATTGTAAATTTCCAATATAATGTGTTTGCGATGACCATACAAATCTTTATAGCATTCTTATAGTGATATCTACCTAGGTCTGAGAGTTCAAGAAAACTCCAGTATAAGGATATACACATTTACGCTCTTACAAGGGACACCCTGGACAGATTCTCAAGTCCACTGAAATGGAAGCAATGCAGAGATTTACCCCCTTGTCATATACGGCTTTCTTAGAATGTCTCCTTTTGTCCAGTGCTGTAGTCAATTTCCCCTTGCTTTAAGAAAATACTGCAAACATGTCACTTGAGGGGGTTCACAGTTTGCTCCCAAGGGTTTTTGGCTCCAGGCAGGAACACCATAGCTCGAGGTCCTGGTGGAGTAAATAGTGCTCAGTCTGTGGTGGCCAGGAAGCAGGGAGGGAAGGGAGGAGCTGTGGATAGGAAAGCACCCTTCCGGGTCACCCAGTGACTGCCTCCAGCCAGACCTCGCCTCCTAACTGCACACTCAGCCCCAAACTCATCCATGATCAATCCACTGATGAACACAGCTTGCATGATCCAAGATCTACCCACACCAACCAGTTACATCATGAGTCATAAAAGAGTGAAATTTTGATTCTGCGTATCACATAAATCATAGAAAAATGCAGTTATCTTTTATTAGCTAGTGGAATGGTAGAAGCCATGCTTCATGGCTCTGCTATTATCATACAGATATTTGCACATTATCAGAAAGATTAAATGAGAACTCAAAATTGTTTTTGCAAAAATAACATGCTGAAAAAGTTATGCATACTAGATTTGAAAAATTAGGTATTATTTTGCTTCCAGCCAACAAGGGAAATGTCCCTTAAGTAGGTTCATGCAAGGGGATCAGGCTAGGCTGTGACACTGCACCAATACAAAGGTTAAAGGTTACCTTCTATGTGGACAGCTGCAGGGAGCCGGAACCGCTCCTGAAAAACCAGGCCTAGGTAGACATCACTACAGGACTGCTACAAAGATTGATGTGGTCCTAGCATACATAGCATCTTAGAAATTTATAAAAGACTGGTTGACTTTTGCTAATGGTTGGTCACGTATTGACAAGTTGGATCATCCAATCAAGTCGTTACTTGGGTTTTGGTTTTCTCATATGTATTTTCAGTTATTAACTATTGTACAGTTCTTGATATTTTAGAAGTCCTGTACACAAACTTTAAAAATCTGGGAGACTATTAACCAGTAACCTGTGAATCTCTATGTGAGGAGAATGATGTTAGATGTACCTCACAAAAGGTATCACTGTCTGGAATTTGCAAGTTTATACAGACATATCACTGGAGCAGTTTGATTCACACATCCTTATATCATTGTGAGCACACTGTGGGTAAAATAGGGAATTCAAAGCCATTCTGGTAGATCTCAAATGGAAATGAAGAAGAGATGATTAGAAAATGGAGCAACCACTATACCTGTCACAAAGTGGGAAGGAACTTTTTAAAATTTATTTCTGGTATTTGTGGAAGGTAAATGGCACATGATGAAATTGGATATGTGGGTGAGGTGATTTGCACATAAGGCATGTGAGGCACTATGGGTTTTCTCACTGCTTACAGCATTGTGAGAGGTCTGTTGAGCTTAAAGGTTAGTTCAGCGACAAGGAAAGTCAAACTTTTATTCTTTTTGTGAGAAGATATGGAAGATTGCACTGGAAATAATAACAGCAAGAGTGTGGCTGGACAATCGCTCCTTCATGGGACAACTTATGATGTGAACCAGGCATCCTAGCAGAAGCCAGGAGCACAGGCCTGATCACACCAGCAGAGATGCTGAAGAAAGAGCAAAGAGCAGCCAGGAGTCCCAAACTGTTCTACTGTGAGTATAGCTTTTCCCTCAGGAAGAGGACAGAGTGACACCCAAGATTCAGCATCATCTGTGCTGCCTCCCCGACACAGCCTCCGGAGCACACCTGGCCTGTGTGTTGACTCCCGAGGGTACACCAGGACACCACTGCAGTTTCTACAGCTAGTGTGCAGCTGCCTGAACCTTGGGAAGGACTCCACGCAGCAGCAGCAGCAGCAACAGCACTCCAGTGGGTCCAAAAGCCAGGTCACCGGGCCAAAGAAGATTCTTCTCAGGTCTTAGCTCTAATGAAACTTGCCTTCCTTGCCGTTGGGGTTGCTTGAAACCCTCTTTGCTTTCTTCCTTTTGATTCTTTCATTCTACAAATGGAAAGTCTGTCCACTGTCTGGAGATGTGGTTTGGATCTAAATTGTCCCCCAAAGCCAAGTGATGGTTTTGGGGAAAGTGATCAGATCATATGGACTCTGAATTGTATTAATGGGTCCATCCATTAGCCGGTTCTTAGCTGAGCAGGAGGTTGGGAGGTAGGGCCTCACTGAAGGACATGAGCAAAGGGGCAGCACCTCTGGGCTGGGTCTTGTGACCACCTCATCCTTTGTGTCTCCTTCTCTTTCTATCCTTCTCCAGATGCCCTAAGGAGAGTAGTGCTCTGCTATTGTGCCCTTCTGACTTGGTATTTCCACTCAGGAGCAACCGACCATGAACTGAAATGTCTGAAACCATAAGTCAAACTAAATCTTTGCTCCTCAAAGTTGTTTTTCTCAAGTATTCAGTCAGAGGCTGAAAGTGGATTAAGATACCTCCCTCATCATCACATTTTGGAAGCAAGTAACTTGCAGGTTCACAGCAGGAAAGGAATTACCTGGATTTCATTGTTCCCTGAGTTTCATCTACATCTAATTTAGTTAGCTAGATGAGACTTTGGACTTGAGACTTTAAAGTGGACCCTGGAATTAAGAATTTTGGGACAGTTGAGATAGGATAAATGAATTTAGCAAGCAAAAAAGCCCATGAATTTTGGACAACCAGGGTAGAATATTACAGACTGAATGTTTGTCTTTTCCCCAAATTCCTTTGTTAAAGCCCTATTCCCCCACCTCATGGCTACAAGTGGAGGTAAGACTCAAGGGAAGCAATTTAGTTTAAATGAGGTCATAAGAGTAGGTCTTCCTGTCCCAGGATGAGTGGACTTAACAGAAGTGACACCAGAGACACCACCTATTTGTGTTGCTGTTCTTGAGTGGACTTAGGGCCATTGCTAACAAAGTACCTCTCTGCAAACCAGGAAGAGGGACCTAAAAGAAAGCAAACTCTGAAAACATTGTTATAGGATTCCCAGCTTCCAGAACTGTGAGAAGGAAATTTCTGTTGTTTATGGCCCCGTTGAGTGGCCATCTCTTTTGGCAGCCTGAAGAGATTCACACAGTGAATTTTACCAATAAGTGAATGTTCATGTAATCCTAGACATGGGTCAGAGGCATACTTGCTTTCCTGTAACATTATTCAACATAATTTAGAGGGAGTCTGTGGCTCAAAATTCCTTGTGTGCTTTGATGTCTAAGTGTTTTTAAATTCTATGATCAAGAATTATTGGGGCTGAGGATTTAGCTCAGTGGTTCCTCCACCTGCCTTGCAGAGGCAAGGTCCTGAGTTCAATCCTGGCATCAAAAAATAATTATTTCCTTTGGGCTAAAGCCCGGTGTCTGCAGAGTCTCCATAAGTGAGATGCTTGTAAGGCCTGTGTAAGGGATAGACAGGAACAGTCATATGGCTGAGACCAATCAGAGGCATCTCACACCCACATCACTGCCTTCCCTTTCTCTGCACAGAGACTTCAGACAAAGGCCCAGGATTATTTCCACCTTCTGTTTGCCATCAGAGTACAAATCCCTCTGTTGGCAAGAGTTTGACTGTGACATAACTGCACTGTAAAATGTTAGCCCAAGCTGCCCTCAGAAATGCAATTAAGAGATATGATGAAAAATACAGGGAATGTCTAAATTTAAAAATGTATTACAGTAAGAGATACATTGCTATTAATGCCTCTCTACTCCCCTTCGCTTTGAACACACAGCCTGTAGCCTTGCCACTTTCTCCAGCAGCTCTGGAGTCCTTTCCTGAGTGTCATTAGCTGCACTGTCCTGGCTGAGTTGATGCTTGAATGGATTCAAAATGTTTTCCTTTTATGGTCATTTTGACTTTGGAGAAGAGCCAGAAGTTGTACAGTGCCAGACCCAGTGAATAAGGAGGATGAGGACACAGCGTGTTTTTAGGAGCTGCCTTTCTGCACTCAGCAGCTGCATTCACTGTATTTTTTATCACACTTCATAAATACCCTCAGGAAAGAGGACTCCAGAGCTGCTTCAGAAATCAGTAAGAACAGTGGACAAATGTGTTAGAAGAGAGAAGGAGGTGTTAGAGGAGGATTTGTGGAAATGTGTTATTTACTGTAATAAAACTTTTCAATTTAAATGTACAGCATATTTTTGACTCGTCCCTTTCATATGCCACTTGTCATCAGAGATACACACATTTCCACTGAAGTGCACATTCGCTCCTCACCTGCACCACCCCCTCAGCCCTGTCCATGAGCCACTAGAAAGACTTGGTTTGTTCCTATTCAAGCTGAGTCTTTCCAGAAAATGGATAACCTACACTTCCTGTTCCCCAACAAAATGATACTTCAATATTATTCATAACAAAAATTAACTTGATAAATATTTACTTCATTATAAAAAGATAGAAGCTCATTCAGATTGGACCCCATAAACAAAAATAAAATTATGGCTCTATTGATGGAATTGTTACCTAGAATCAACATCATTATCCTGAAAGCATAAGAAAGTCTACATGTTTATAATTCAGTCAAGATTCAAAGTAGGAGATGTTTGGGTTTTAAAATGAGACTGGGAATTTATATAAACTTTCACATCAAAATAATAAGACATTGAATTTTGGGAAACTTTAACGGTGCTGCCAACCTTGGAAAAAGTCATCCCAATTTACTGTGTTAAGTTGGCATTGTACAGAAATGGACAGCCATATTGGTCTAGAAATGTTAATTTTTTTTGTTTTTATTTTTTACTTTTTTTTCCATGTGTAAAGGGGTAACACATCGTACTAAATATGTAAGGTCATATCTACGTGGGTTTGATTACAGAAACTAATAAAGTATTCTCTAAATAATGAAAAAAAAGAATAAGATATAACTATAATAGCAAGAAGCAATTTAAATATATTAAGGGACCATTTTCATCTGCAGAATTAAGGATTATTTTAATGTTACATCATTGCCTTTTCTCTTTTACTTTCCTTTTTAGTTTTATTTTAGGATTCCCTATTTTTAATGTTCATACAGAGATTTCTTTAACTGAAATACTATAATAATGTGAAATAGGAAGTAAAGGGGTAAAGGTGTAGGGAAAGTGGAGAGGGTGGGGGGAAAGGTAACAAGGGAGAGGAAAAAAATATGAGAAACTGAAAAAGTGAAAATAAGTGTTTGTAAATGGGGAGGGAAGGAGGGGGTGAAGGGAGGGCAAGGACAAGGGGAAAAATGAGAATCAAGACCTATTATGTAAAGGTACAGAATCCCAATGATAAATGTAACTGTATTGTATACCTAGATTGTATCAATAAACTCAATAAAAAGAAAAAAATAAAAAAATAATAATAAGACATTAAAATGAAGCAAAGGAAATATTCAAATGTCAATGAAAGGAAATCAAAATATTTATTATGTCCACACAAACCCTCTCCTTTTAGGCATGAAAAGATTGAAGTCTGCTATTATGTCTTACTTCATCTCTATTTTAAAAAGCTATTGGGCCGGGGATTTAGCTCTGTGGTGCCCCCGCCTGCCTCACAAGTGCAAGGTCCTGAGGTGGATCTCCGGTATCAATTAAAATAAATAAATAAATAAATATTAAAAAATAAAAACCCTATTGTGGAATTTCCTTTGTTTTGTGAGTAAGGTAAAAGAAAACATACCTTGGTATTAAATCTGAGCCCCATGGATTCATTCATGTGACATCTTCAGCTCTTGTTTAACAAACACTGGGTATAATTCTCAGCCAGTACAGCAAATCCTGGGGCCAGGTAAACAGCCCATCGAGCCCTGCCCCTGTCCAGTCGGGAGGTGAGACTTCAGCATGTGTGTTTCTTCAAGGACATGAAGGAAAATTTCCCCCTTTGATGTGCTTCTGCTAATTATGAGATGATTTTTTTTCTCAAAAATGAAGAGAGAAATTCAGCCCTGGATTGACATCATTCGTAGATGGTGTTTTCATTGTCAAAACAATCCAATCCAAGAGCCCTGGAGTCACAACTAAAATCGTTTTAATATTGCTTATGGCAGATAAATTCTAGCGCTTTTTTCTTTATTTTTTTTAATCTCAAAAGACATGTGACCCAGGTCAGAACACTGCATGGCAATGCTTACCATTCTCACACGTACTAACTGTGTTTTCAGGGCTACAAAATCCACCACAGAAATGGTAGTCATGGGTGAAACTCCCACTCAGTTTCTCGGTGACAAAAATAACTTGTGAAGGTGAAAGTCTTCTGAGACAGAATTTTGAGCTATTTTGAGTGACGTTAAAAACTTTTAATGTAAACAACTGACTTCAAAATAATTTACTTCAAAATAATCTACAGTATTAACACAAAGTATTGAGCGCAGTGGTTTAACTTTATTCTCCTTTGCCCTCCCAGCTTTCCTTGGCCTCCCTGTGTGCTATACAATGCTTTAAATTGCAGAATAGTTAGTTTGAGCTCTTTATGCCTCAATCTCAGAATAATATATACAAAGTTGGAAAGAGATTAAAACTCCCGGGCCCTTCCTTCAGATTCTGATTCAGGGGGAGGAGAGTTGTAGAAATCTGTTTATTTAACCAACTGTTTGGCAAAGGGCTTCCGGAGGACATATTAAGAAGCAGCATCCAGCAGGAAATTGCAGGAGTGTCTCTTGTTAGGGACCCCTGCAGTCAGGTTCCAGTCCCCACCTGCCCAGTGTGTGATGCAGGCCTGAGAAATAAATACACTGAGAGACAGGAATAAGAGAGAGAGAGACAGTGGGGCCTGAACGACCCATGCCAGGGCAACCGACAAAGGTGCTGGAAAGTCCCAGGCACTGACTTTTATTGGCAATCAATTGGGGTAAATGAAGCAATGTGGTTTCTATGGAAACTAATGTAAACAAGGCTAAGAAAGGACAAGACAAAGCATTCTTAAATTAGGAACAGAATAGACAAAATATACGATCATAATTAGAACATTGTCCTTCTAGGCTGAAGGTTTAGTTGTGAGAACCGAATCTGGATGCGAGTTACTCTGACCTTAGCACATAGAATTCGGCCAGACTCACTTCTGTAAACAGCCAATTGTGCAGTTCAGTCTTCACAACCTGCTTTGGTGATAATCAATATTACAGTTCCCTGCAGTCTCTTCTTCTTGGGAAATGTAGAATAAGAGTCAAGGACACTCCAAACTACTCTGAAATATTTCAGAAAAAGAGGGGAAGGGAGCAGGGGAGGGAAGGTTAGGGGAAAGGAGAGAAGGTGGAAAGACAGGGGAGGGAAGTGGGGGGGGCATGTGGTTGCAAAACCTGAGCAGTTGGTGAATTTCAGGGAAGGTAAATAAGAACTCATTGTACTATTTTGCAACTGTGCTTTCAGCTTAAAATTATATCCACAAAACATTAAGCCCATGTTCAGATGGAGTTATAACTTGTATAGGAACAAGAAAAAATGCAGTCATGGAAGTTCTCTGGCATTTTAGGGTTACAGAGTAGGAACTAGACAGTGGTTACTACCATAAGTAAAACAGAGAGGTAAACATATTGAACAGTGGCTTGGGTCATTTGTGTGTGTGAGTGTGTGTGGCCATGCTTAAAGATATATGGGTCTTAGTGTGGGGGTCTGTCCTCTGTATATTACAAATATCCATATATACATATCATGATGGGATCCTTACACTTCCATTAGACTCATACTCTGCTCTTTTCATCGGGGGAGGAAATAAACTCACCACTTCAAATCAGCTTTATGTATGCCTGAAGATTAATGCATTTCTAAAGTCCATAGTGTTTAGGCTGTGATAACCATTCCCTAATTGGGTAACCTATAAGGATGTATTTCTCACAGTTCTAGAGGATGGCAACTCCAGGTCCTAGGGGCCAGCAGATTTGCTAGCTGGTGAGGATCCATCCCTCCTGGACAGCATTTTCTAGGTGTATCCTCATACTGTGGGAGGAGTGAGCAAGTTACTTTGGGCTTCTTCTACAAGGACATTGATAACCATCATGAGAAACCTACCATTATGGCCTGATTAGCCACCAAAGACCCTTGCACACTTTAATGCCAACATATTTGAAATTAGATTTCTACATATAACTATGAAGCACACACCATTCACATCCAGACTTCTGGATTCTTTCCATAGGTTTGCAAAGCTAGACACTAAGAAAATACAGGATATTAGGTCTAAACAGATAAAGGCATAGAGAAAGTAGATGCTTGAGTGGTTATAAGTGACCAAGACTAATGTACTTGTATAGTTATTAACATCAACAATATCTATTTAAACACATGAGCTTTGTAATAACTGATACAATTTCACGGATATA